AAACTGCACTGCCCAGAATCCACAGGAAGGGGATTCTGGGCCCTGTGCAGTGGATAGCTTCTTGTTGTATTTTAAGGTACACAGCAACAATTAAAAAATGAACCTATCATGGGGTTTTCTTGGCATTTCTCTTCAGAGGGACAAGTCACACTCTCTCAGCCTCAGAGGATGGCAATGGCAGAAACCCCCCCCCTGAAGAAATGGGCCAATAAAACCCCATGATAGCAACAAAAATCAAACCTATCATGGGGTTTCCTTGACCGGTTTCTTCAGAGGGGTCTTCAGAGGTCACCCAGTGGGTTTCCATGGCTGAGCCGGGATTCGAACCCTGGTCTCCAGGGTCATACTCCTCTCTCAGCCTCCTGAGATGTACAGCTTAGTCTCTTGATACAGCAACGTCTCTTTCTGTGACCAGGACTGATGAAACCCAACAACCTCCCCCCCAAAAAAATATAAAAATAAAGAAGCCGGCTCTTTCAGGACAGAAACTGCTGGGTCCTTTATTGCAAATAAAAGAACTGGATGAGCTCTTACCAAGTTGAAGGACATCTCTCTTGTCTTTGGCACTAAGGAGGAACATTCTCCGAGTCCAGAGCATGCACTCCGTCTTCCCAAACGGTTTCTTCCAGCCCCAGCATGACCTAGAAACAAAGGACACGGCTTGCAAACATTTTCCCCTTTTCTAAATTATTATGATTATTATTATTATTGTTATTATTATTGCCAGCATGTTCAGGGAGGAAAAAAAATGACTTTTCTAAACTCTGCCTCTGCTTGGCTGTGCCTCCTCTGCTGAGCGCATGCAAAATGCAAGACCCCCAAAAAAGCAAATTATTTGACTTTTAAAACATGCTGTAAGAGCTCAGAGTTGAAATCTAGGAACTACAAAGACTTAACATCCCAGTTTGGAAAAATCACAGGTTGCACAAACGACTACAAAGACTTCACATTTGGAAAAAAAATCACAAATTGCACAAATGACTATAAACTACAAAGACTTAACAACGCAGTTTGGAAAACCACAGATTGCACAAATGACTACAAAGACTTAACAAATTGCGCAAATGACAAATATCTAAAATCATGCCGGACAAATAAATATGTGGTGAAACGGAAGCACAAAATCACAGGAGAATAAAAGGCATTTCAAGGTTCATGTCACCGATAGACAATTCTATGGCTCTGTTTTAGCAGATGCTCTCTTTAAAATATATATATATATGGTTTTAGAGTTGTCATTTTAAACATTTGCCGTTTCAGACTAAAATGCAATAGAGGGAGAGCAACACAAGCAAGTCGCCATAAAAACTTGCATTATTCTAGAAAGCTTCTACAAATAAGTGCATTGCAAAAAAGAAACCTCGAGGTTTGCAAAGGAAGAATTTGGAGGAGACAACTTGATCTCTAAGACAAGGGACTTCCAAAACCACCAATAAGCCTTTATATCTCTATACTTATTTATTTCTACCAAGTATTGGTCAATGGCTGTTC